TGCTATTTATAACTGAACTCCAGAAGCTTCACAATAAAAGCAAATTAAAACTGCAATACAAAAATAGCAAATACTTTAAAACTATGTATTTGTAGGTCCTGTTAGAATTCTAAGTTCAGACTCGTCTCCATGTCAATAGATGCTACATCATTGTGGGGAATGCAGCTGCCTGTTCTGCTCTAGACAATAGTATCAACTGTTCCAAGAAAGAAACCTCCAATCTACCTGGGGTGTTTTCACTGTTGCACCACCTGCTGGTCTTTTTAAAGGGTTTACCATCTTCACATCATCTTCCTCATCATCTGACTCTGGTTCTTCCTCTAGGGCTAATAAAATAAGACAGCAATACATGAAATTTCACATGCGTGAAAATGGTAAATTTAGCAAGTAAGAGACAAAAAAAAAAAAAAAAAAAAAAAAGTGTTATCTATCTGTAGAACAGGAGTGTTTAGCCGCTGGCCCATAGGGATCCCTGCAGGTCCAGAATACATCAGTGGAGAAGACCATTAATATGGCCACACTTCCCTGTTCAGGGAGGAGAGAAAATAACTCTATCCTGCTCAGGTCTGAAAAAGCCATGAGGAGGGGAGGGATCAAAGACCCACAAGAAAAATAAAGCTCTAAAGAAGGATATGTTCAAGTTCCCAGAATTTTCTTGGGTCTTTACAGCTAGATCAAGTCTCACTCTCATAGAAAAGCCTACTGCCAGAGAAGAAAGTTTTACTGTTTGTTCAACCCTAAGCCTACAGGGTTCCCCACAGGTAGGAAAATTTGGCAGCAGGAAAGCAGTGGCACCACTCTTCCACCATCAAAATTTCTAGACACATGGGAAGTAGTGGAACCTGCATGCTGAATCAAATGCCTGATCCCAGGAAAGCTGGGACCCAGCACCCAATCCCAGGATGCCAGGGAGCTGGGAGGGGGTGATCCCATGCTTTAGGACCCAATCCTGGCACCAAGGCAGCGCTGAGTCTGAGGGCCCATTCCCAGAGCCTGGCACACAGACGAGGCAGCCTCAGTGCTGGACCTGTCCTGTGGACACAACCCTGCCCCACAGGACCAAACAAGGTTGAGTGAGCCCCACTGGCCTTCACAAACACAGGACACAGGTTTGTCAACAGGACTAATATAATGGCTTGGTAAGTATCCAACAGAAGTTTTATCAGGTTTTGACACAAGCTAATCTAATCTGGTCAGTTTATTGAATTGGTTAATCTATTTGGAGAGTCATTCACCTTGCATAAAAAAAAGTTTTAAAAATAAGTGGGGGGAGAGGGGAGAAATATAAAAATAAAATACTTACCTACAAGGTGCTGGCCACTAACATAAACAGGCCCTGAACCACATTTCAATCTCAAAACCACTGGTGGAGTGATCTCAAAGCCACCTAAAGAAACCTACGAACAAAGTACATTGGTTACTTCAAACACCAACAGCAAATTAACAACAACGTGCTAGGAGAGAACCACTGAAATTTAGGAGCGCAGTGAAAAAACACCCATTAAAGCAGCACAATTGTGTGTGACCGTATTTCAAGGTGTATAGGTTGACATGGTATAAAAGTTGACCTGATTTTCCTGACCCAAAGTTAAGAATTTCATAGATCCGGTGTATAAGTCAACCAACCTTTTTGGATCAGAAATATGGGGTCAACTTATACCAGGCCCTGTGTACCCTCACTGCAGGCCAGGCACCTGGGGGGTGGACATGTGCCACAGAGCTGCTCGCAGGAGACAGGGCTAGGCTCAGCTGGCATGGCCTTGTCCCCTGCAAGCGGTGCTGCCTGGGTCACGGCAGCCTAATGCCGAGCCCAGCACGGGTCCCAAGGGATGGGGCGCGTCAGCCATGCAGTTCGCCTGGCCCTGTCTGTCTGTTGCAAGGGGTGCTGCTGAACACCAAGCCCAGGCTCATCCCCTGCAAGTGGTGCCAGGCTTGCTGCTCAGCTGGTGTGGCCCCATGCCCTGCAAGTGGTGCTGGGCTTGCCACTCTGCCGATGCGGCCCAGGTGGCACTGCTCACGGGGGATGGGGCCACGCCAGCCGAGCCCTGCACTGCTCGCAACGGATGAGGACAGGCTTGGTGCTTGGCTGGTGCAGCCCCACCCCCTGCGAGCAGCACTGCCTGGGCTGCACCAGCAGAGCACTGAGCCTGGCCACACCAGCTGAGCAAGCCCAGCACCACTCACAGCAGACAGGTACCAACTTGGTACTAGCTGGCACAGCCCCATCCCCTGCGAGTGACACCGGGCTCAGCTGACATGGCCCAGGCAGCACCACTCGCAGGGGATAGGGCCACGCCAACCAAGCACTAAGCCTGGCTCCAACCTTTGCAAGAGGCACTGTGGCACATATCCACCCCCTGGGTGCCTGGCCAGCAGTAAGGGTGCGCAGGGGCCAGTTTAAGTTGAACACCGAGCCCAGTGCCACTCAGAGGGGACAGTGATATGGTGTGCAAGTCAAGGTTGATTTTAAGAGTTAAAAATTGGGCTTCAAAACTTGATTTATACACTGTGAAATATGGTACTTCATAAACACTCACTGACCCACCCATGGGGTGGGGGAGAGAGGGAGGTCAGAAGAGCACCAGCTAGAGATCTTTAGAAGGATCTCTGGGGTCTGAGAAGTTTCTCTTCAAAGCAGACGGACACCAGTGGTATAAAGTCAGAAGTGTAATTAGGCCCTCAATGCCACCTTTTCAGTGTCCATTTTCAAATTACAGTTTGCAAAAAGTGAGCTAAAGCAAGATCGTACATGGGTTCCCAGGACGTTCTGGATAAACACGCCTTTAATACAGAAATAAGTGGCTGAAACTTCTGAATCAAGTTACTTCTTTATTACATCCAGACCAGATAAACTTTCAGTGGAACAGTAAATGTAAGAAGCCAGAAGGCACCTCATGAATATTCCCATATTTTATTACTTTACAACTGAAGCTTTTAAAAAACTAATCTACCTGCAATGTCTGGGAACTAAGTTTGTAAAGGTTTACAATTGAACCAGCGTGCCAAAACCCATAAGTGAACTGACTAAACAAATTCAACTATTTTAGTACAGAAACACAAATGAAACAAATTGGAATGTAATATTTTTATCATTCAGATGCCTAATCTGCTACTGTCCCTTCCCCAAGACAACAGTTTATGTCAAGTTTAATAATGCCAATATAACTGTCCTTACCGTAGGCTGCACCGACATTTTCAAAGATGCAAGAGTGGCTTTAATAGGGTTCCCCTCGTAGTCCAATGCCTCTGCTTCTATGACATGCAATTCATCTTTGGCACCAGCCCCCAAACTAACCTATGCAAAGAATGAAACATATTGTACATTATTAGAAATATCCCTAACTTGCAAAACTTGAGCATTAACTTGTAAATGTATATGAAGCCCAAAGTGGGATTTTTTGTCTCAAGACTAGAGGGTTTCTCACGGATGTTCTTCCTCTATTTTTGCAGGAAAGCTACTGGTAACTAAACTGTTATCAGCATCTCACTGAAGCTGAGACAAGCTAATCTTCAATAAGGAAATGATTATTACACTAAACTTTTTAATGCTGCAAGATTTATTCAACAAGGCCTAAACTAATAAAATAGCTGTTTTATTCAACCTGCTATTCTGCAAAACCTAGAATTAAATCCAGTAAACAACTTGGGTACCTGGTTCCTACACTGGAACCTAGTGATCAGAACTATGCACTCGTGCTCCCTATGTAACAAAGAAATGTCGGTGCTGCAGAATGGCCCTACAGGCTCAGCAAGCTGCTTAAAGGAAGCCTCAGTATCAGCCTTAGAACACATGCAACAGGTGCAACTGAGGGCAACTTATTCTTCAAACAGCACTGTAGACACTCTTCTGTAGTTTAGGCATCGGCTGAGCTGGGAGTTACTGAACCCCCAATGTTGAGTGTGGTAGCAGATGACTGAACAAGAAGCAATGGTTTAAAGTTACAGCAAGGGAAGTTTAGGTTAGATATTAAGGAAACTCTCACAAGGAGGGTAGTAAAGCACTGAAACAGGTCACCCAGAGGTTGCGCAATCTCCAACCTTAGAGATTTTTGAGACCCAGCTAGACAAAGGCCTTGGCTAGGATGATAATTGGTCCTGCTTTGAGCAGGGAGTTGAAGTAGCTGACTTCTTGAGGTCCCTCCTAATCTTAATTTTCTATGATTCTAAGCCATTCTCAAACACCATACTGAAACACCGCTGGATCTAGAGTGACTATGATCAAGCTAATCTCATTGATCAGGGGTGTCCAACCCTTTTGAGTGTGGGGCCAGATCATGAACTTTTTTATCAGCCAGTGGGCCAGCAGAAGCAGGTGCTCGCGTGGCCCATCCAGTCCAGCCATGGCCTGGGGGCGCTGCCTGACCCCATGTCCTCCCTGCCACCTGGGCAGCCTCGAGGAAGCTCCCACACCACATACCTGGGCTCAGCATCCAGGGGAACATGCGAGGACCCTACGGGGACATGCAGGGACACCCCCCTGCTCCCTCTCCCCTGGGGCAGCCCAAGCCCAATCAGCAGGGCTACCTCCCTCCCCGGGGCCTGCAACTCACCGCCCCCAGCGCAATGTCTGCGGGCGCAGGGGGATGCGGGAGCCATGCCAGCTTCCCGCCCCAACAGCCACAGCAGCAGTGGCAGCAGCATCTCCTGTGGGCCCGGCCACAGCATCCCTCCAAGCCGGCATCCGCGCCCCCCGAACAGCAACCTGCTCCAGCCCGTGCAGCCGGCGGGGACCAGCACAGGGCAGGGCTGGCATGCAAATGAGGAAGGGAGGGGAGGGGCTAGGAAGGGACACCGTGAAATGAGGGGGGATGGGGAAGAGCCACACCACATCAGCAACGTCAAGCTGACATGGTGCACGTGGGAACCCAGTCCCTTCCCCAGACCGTCAGTAGCCATTAGGAAGCTGCTGAGAGGCTGGGGGAGGGACAAGGGGTGGAAACAAAAGTAAAGTGTTTACTTTCATTTCCTGTCGAAGCACCTCTGGCCTCAGAAAATGGCTTGGTGGGCCGCATGGCAGCCCGCAGGCCATATGTTGGACAAGCCTGTCATAGATCAAGTAAATTTGTTGGGAGATGGATGCTATTTTAGGAACAAGGATATACATAATGCAGATAGTTACAAAAAAGCAAGCAGAAGCTAGATACCAGAGGAAAACTATCCTGCCTTTACCTGTATGTAACAGTACCTGCATGGATGTGTTGACAAATGAGAACACATGCATTTCACCTCATTTGCTCTCTAGAGTAGATCTGTGTATTTCAGCTGGTAGAACAGCTAGCCAGTACCAGACAAGATCTGTATCCAGGGATACCTGGCACATGGCTTCACTTGTATCCGTTACAAGATCTAATTAAAGCTATTATTTGTTTTCTGGATGACCAAGCTGTATACATTTTACGTGGGGGTATTGTAGATAGATGTGTGCATTAAACACAACAACTATATATGTAATGCAAGTCACTAGAGGTACATCGGGGGGCTGGGCTACACCGTGCATGGGAGGAGGCTGCAGCCAGCCCAAATTTCACCATAGCTCCCCCCCATGCCCATCAGTTACTGGTATTGGCCCCCAAAATCAATATCAGTGCACCCCCACAAGTTACATATAACATGCAATACAGAGAACCTCCATTTTCCTGTTGAGAGCTGAAAAGCAAACTGGTAGCCACGAACTGATAACTGTAAATTTTGAATAAGCTATTTGACTGACCTATGTAAACCCAGGAGCAACACGAAGGACCTAAAAAGCCTTCTTTGCCACTTTCTCTGTTCATTGGACTCAGAAACTTTTATTACAAAGCCAGCAAAATATCTGCTGGCACATTACCCAGCCACTTTTAAACACCATTTTCCCCCACCACCTGCATCCCCTACACCAATCTAAATCCTCTGGCACAAATTGACCTTTTACTCTAGCAAATATAGAACATTTATTAGCTTGCAACTTGCTCCCTTTTCTTCCTTTTTAATTTCAACCTTCCCTTCTGATATTTTTCTGAATATAGAAAAAAGTGAGAGACCCGAATGATGGTCGCTTGTTAGATGCATTCACTTTTTTCTCTAGGACCTCTCTCCTTGCCACTGGATGACTGCTACAGGTTTTCTACTTGCCTCTCTTTCTCGCCATTCATTTCCCAGGCACCTCAGGTACTTATTTCTTTGCTTTTTTACCGTTTTAGCCATGTCCCCATCAATGCTTATCTATTCACTGCAATCCAAATACCAGTTTTCTAAGTAAACAGGAAGTGACCTGCCCTATCCCTCTTTCTTCATCTTCTGTGCTAAAAATATTCAGGTGCAGGAGTGGGCATTAAAGGGCACCTGATGCCCAAGCTTACACAACAGCTCTCCCAAATGTATATTTGGGTCCAGAAAAAAACATCACAGACAAGCCTTACTCCTACAGCTCCTGCGCCATCGTGGCTACAACAGTGTTCCCATTTCAGTATTTCCCCGATTTCCAACAACCATCCACTGAAATGAGGCCACTGACCCCAAAAAGCCCCAATGAAGACCTAATTCTGGGCAACCAACTGGGGCAAACCCAAGCTTGTGAACAAGTTTGCACTGGATGCTCCACATCTGGGCGCCCATCAGCAAGTCCAGCAACAAGCTATGGAGAATTGCTGCTGGCTTCAAGAACCAGGCTGTGGGGTCCACAGATCCTGCAGCAAAAACCCTCCCCTCAGGCCAGCCCAGCCCAGCCTTACCGTCCTCAGCGACAGCTGGTGCTCGTTCTCTTCGTCGTTCACTTTGAAGTGGAAGTCCTTGTCCGCCTTCAGCTCGCAGCCTGCGGGCAGGAGAGGAGAAGACGTCACAAGCTCGTCTGGGGCCACGAGCTCGCCCCTTCCCCGGGCGGGGCTCGGGCCCCGCCCCGGCACGGCACGGCCCGGCCCAGCGGCGT